ATATGAACACTTTAAATACACAGTCACCTTCAAACAGTGAGACCTCAGCTGTCACACACACACACCTACACATAAATAGTTTGTGCTATTACAGGAAGCAGCACATGGGCTGAGGAAGAATACCGGGTTTAAAAACGTGCTTCAGTTATATTTAACAGTTTTATAGCTTCATTATTTTAAGGCTGACATTCCAGAGCACAAACCTGAAGTTTAAGACACACATTCAGTTCCTGAACACGCCGTAAGCCTTCAACACGCTAGAAAACATTTAAACACTTTAGAGACTAACGACTGAAACCCTCTCTCATCTAAAGTCTGTTTACCTTGAGGACAGAGACGACGATCAGTGATTGGCCGGCCTGGACGGCGATGGTGCTCAGAGTGGTGAATGATGGTCCAGCTCTCCGTCCCGTCTCCTTGTGTCCTCCATGTGTCTCCTCCTGTCCTAAATGTGTCTCCTTGTGTCCTCCATGTGTCTCCTTCTGTCCTCCATGTGTCTCCTCGTGTCCTATGTGTGTTTCCTCCTGTCCTCCATGTGTCTCCTCGGTCCGTCCGATCGTCATGATCAAAGATTAAATCCTGATAGAAAATGAGGAATATGTCGTTTGTTTCTCCTTCATCTCTGTAGATATTTTCAGTTCCTGACCTGAAGGTGAACCACTTTGTGTCTGTATGTTCGTCAGTATGAACCCCTCTGAGCCTGATTCACTGCGATCAAACAGCCGGAGTCCAGCAGGTTCTGGGTGTTTTAATGTGAACAGTTGAATCTCCTGCAGAACAAAAGAGACGTTATATTGATTATTTAAAAAGATATTCCGATTTTATTCAGTAAAAGACATCTCACTCTGAGTACCAACCCCGAGTTCAGGGCAAGAAAAGGTTGGATGGGAACAAAGCGAACCAAATAGCAACACCACCATCAGGGCTTGAGCCAAAATTTAAAATAAATCATCTCTTGAATTCCTTTTTATACTTCAAATCTGAGTTTAACATGTTTATTCTGAGAAATGAAAATCCACTTCCCCATGTTTCTCTAACTCTAATATGTGTCTCTAGTTTGTCTGCAAACCCTCCAATGATGAGAAAAGTCCATCCTCTCCGTCTTTTGCCTGCTCCACTTTTCAGAAAATGTGTGCTCAAACAGGCCGTTTGGAGATTTTCCCTTCATGACATCACAAAGGGCAGTAACCCCTCCCCCAGGTGGGTGACACTCCCACAGCTAGGTGTTTGTTCTGCCCTCTGAGTCTGCCTTCTCACTGTAAACAATAGGACATGGAGCGAGAATGTCTGAGACACCCAAGCCCTTCCAGAGAGGGGGCGTGGTCAGACACAGCTCCTTTACATTTAAAGGTACAGACACAGAAACAGCCTGTTCTGAGCAGGGCTGAAATAGAGGAGTTTATAGACATGATCAAATACAGGATCAGAGTGGATTTAGAACAAGAAACCTCACACATGTTTTGAGGAGCTCTGAGACTTATTTACACTGGTTGAAGAGGAAGAGAATATGTGACCTTTAAAGGCTTTTTACAGATTTTCATTTCCATTTGAATTATGTCATACAAAGTTTAAACATCCATCCATCCATTATCAATTTAGAGTCGCCAGTTAACCTAACGAGCATGTCTTTGGACTGTGGGAGGAAGCCGAAGTACCCGGAGAGAACCCACACATGCACGGAGAGCAGGGCCATCCCGTGGCATAGGCAGTATAGGCAAATGCTAGGGGTGCCAGCCAAATGAGTGAGGCAGAAAAGTTGAAGGTAAGAAGAAGAAACAGAAGGAAAAATGCATTTAAATATCACTAAATATTATTTATCTAATATAATTTTCATGCTTTTATTTAGTTATGATCCAAAATAAGCCATGAAAACACAACTATCACATCAAGGCTCTATTTTCTTGCCTCCTGCTTGACACAGCGCATCACAACACAGCTGCTTGTTACCTGCTCGTTGTGGAGGAGGAGGGCAGGTGACTTATTAGAAGTGAGTGACACTGACCATACCGGTTAACATGAAGTTTATAAACATCCATAATGTAAAAAAAACAAGCCCAGGGACAAAAAGAAGAAGAGGAGAAAAAATATGAAAAAGACACAGAGGTAAGGTGCTGCACAGATCAGTTATTTATCTGTTGTATTTAAGCTACTTGTTATAGATGGATGATAGTTACGTCAGTGTTTCCTAGCTCGAGTTAACATCAGTTATTTCCACTGTACTTTTATTAGGTTAAGATTATTCATGTTAAGAAAATAACCAGTGTAAGTAATACACTTCTTTTGTATAGTAGGATACGTTGTTTGGGACACAAAACCTACTTATATATTTATTGACATTTGTACTTAGTTAGCTTTCACCATCGTCGATTAAAATGTTTATTTTCCACCCCCTGTTGTCATTAATAGTTTTAAGCTCTTGACTTTAGAGTATTGCTGTCTGAGAGCATGAATGCATTTTGTGCTAGAGTTCCTCTCTGAATAGATATTTGTGCATGCTGTAGGTCTGGATGTGAGGAAAACATTTGGGCTCACCTGAAAAACTATGCTGAGGTTTCTGTACTGCTCTGAACAGAAAATAATATTTTGTGTTCACACTATATTATAAAATGCAGATTGTTTTACAAATGTTCATCTTCTCTCTCCAGATGCAATCATAAAACATTTAAATCCATCCCCTGCTGTCCCTGGGCCGTCTGTGACCACTTCTGCTCCCTGCACTGTTTGGTATTGTTTGTTCTGTTACACTAGTTATTTGTATTTATTTTATTTTGTGTTTATTTATAAGAAATATTAGAGTTATTACCATTTTATTCATGTTTGTCTATAATTATTTAATATCTTTTAAATAAAGACATTCTGTTAAATATAAAGCTGTAGGCCAGTTTACTTTAAGTTGATGAATATTGTCTTTGGTGGTCAAGCTGTCTGCAATATAAGGGGCAACTGCTGAAATCTTGCCTAGGGCACCAAAATGGTTAGGGCCGGCTCTGACGGGGAGAACATGCAAACTCCACACAGAGAGGCTCCTGTCAGACGGGATTCAAACCAGGAACCTCCTCCTCCTCCTCACTGTGAGCGGACAGAGCTAACCACTGCACCACCATGCAAGCACATGTTGAAACCAACCTGGAGATGAAAATGAAATACATTGGATAATTAATATAAACAAGTCAAATAATGCTCCCATATTCAAATTCAAAGGCATTCCTGTTAATGAGTTTTAATATGAAAATCCGGTCGCAGGATACTCGAGTCTTTAACACGTTAAGTGTCAACATGAACGTAACATCGACCCTCGTTAAAACAGCTGCTGATTAATTAGCTGATAATTACTTTATCGACTCAGCCTGTTTCTGTAGAAATATTCAAATTCATTCAGCTCAGTACAAATCATATTTACTTTCGAGACTGAATCCAGCGACATCTCTGATTGTGAAATGTTTATTTTTTGTTTGTTTATTGATCATTTTCATCGTGAAACACCGAGCGACGTCTAATTCTTAAACACGGAATATTAATATCTGTAAATATGGTTCATATGTTTAGTATCCTCTGCTTTGTACTCACCTTGTCATTCTGCACTTATCGATGATTATTTACATTTCCTGTTTAAGAGCAGCTGTGATCACCAAACTTCCCCCTCAGGATGAATAAAATCTTTCTGACTCTGAGGTCAAACTAAAGTCCTAAAAGTTGAATCCATGAAAGATGACTTCATAGGTTATTAATACAACTCTGAAGCTGTTTTAATAAAGTGAAGAGACTCTTTTTATGTTTTAAATATAGAGACTGAGTTTAAGCTCTGTTCCGATCATCATGAGCTCTTTTTATAACTCATTATTTCAGCTCCGTTATTAATGTCATAAAACGCTTTTCATTATTTCCATTTTACTCTTTTGAACGTTTTTAAACAACTCTGGAGGTTTAACAACAAATTCACGTCAAACAGAAAGTTCAGAAAAGTTTAGAAAACAGACGAACACGAACCTGAGACACGTTTCCCTCCGCTCCGGAAAGTGTGGAGCCAAAAACACAGACAACAAACACAGCTGAGAGAGAGAGAGAGAGAGAGAGAGAGACAGAGAGAGACAGAGAGAGGGAGAGAGAAAGGGAGAGAGAGGGGGAGAGAGAGTGAGATATAGAGGGAGAGAGAGGGAGAGACAGAAAGAGAGAGAGAAGTAGGGAGAGAGAGGGGGGAGAGAGATAGGGGGAGAGAGTGAGATATAGAGGGAGAGACAGAAAGGGAGAGAGAGAAGTAGGGAGAGAGAGGGAGAGAGAGAGGGGGAAGGGAGAGAGAGGGAGAGAGAGGGGAGAGAGAGAGATAGAGGAGAGAGAGAGGGAGAGACAGAAGTAGGGAGAGAGAGGGGGAAGAGAGAGAGGGGAAGGGAGAGAGAGTGAGATATAGAGGGAGAGACAGAAAGGGAGAGAGAGAAGTAGGGAAAGAGAGGAAGAGAGAGAGGAGAGGGAGCGAGAGAGGGGAAAGGGAGAGAGAGAGGGGGAAGGGAGAGAGAGAGGGGAAGAGAGAGAGGGGGAAGGGAGAGAGAGTGAGATATAGAGGGAGAGAGAGGGGGAAAGGGAGAGAGAGAGGGGAAAGGGAGAGAGAGAGGGGGAAGAGAGAGAGGGGGGAAGGGAGAGAGAGAGGGGAGAGAGTGAGATATAGAGGGAGAGACAGAAAGGGAGATAGAGAAGTAGGGAGAGAGAGGAAGAGAGAGAGGAGAGAGAGAGGGGGAAAGGGAGAGAGAGGGGGGGGAAGGGAGAGAGAGAGGGGGGAGACAGAGAGAGAGGGGGGTGGTATGGTAGTAAAAATAGATGTGGTTTCCAGTAGGATTATCACTCAGCTGAGTGACAGAGAGACATCTGCCCTCCATAAACAAACACTCCCCCCTCACCCTCTCGGTGTAACGGTTTGTCAACCCGCCTCAGCTCCTGTTAGCGCCTCCTGCAGGAATAAGTGATCATTACAGAAACACATGAACAGAAAGATGGACAGAGCAAGAAACACTTTAAAAATCTAAACTTTGGTTTTTATTTGAACTTTACACACTACTGATGTTTGACTGACAGCTCAGCTCAGGGGATTGTGGGTAATGTAGTGTGGTGAGGGCTCAGCAGTCTGATGAAGAGGTAACATAAATAACAAACAGGAAATAATAAATAAATATGTAAACATTTGGTTTCCCTCTCAAACAGAAGAATGACTTAAAGCACTGACGAACCCGCCTCATGTTTCTAACTCTGCACGCTGCTATGATCACGAAACGTTTAAATAAACTAAAAAAACCACATCAAGTCAGAGAGAGGCCGTCTCCTTCAATCTGCAAGTACTCGTCAGAACCAGTGAATAAATTGAGTAATATCGACACATATCTGCACCAAAATTAGCCGATAATCAGTGGATATGCTGATATCGGCTGATTTATCGGTCGGGTTCTGATTTAGTTCGTCATAAACTCGTACGTGGGGCGGTTGTAACAATTCCCTCTGAGGTGAAGAAAGGTCAAACTATAAACGAGAAGTAAACGGCAGACTCACTTTGGATGTTGTCTTGTTCATCTTAATGTAAACAAAAACATTTTATCAACAGGTCGTCACGTAAGGTTCAGTAGTCTCGCATTGTTCCGAGGCGCCTTAAGTCCGAGTCAGGGAGACGGATATTTAAATTCAGTTTGACCGCGTTCAGTCTCAAGGTCAAAGGTCAAAATGTAAAATGGTTAATGACAGGTAAATGACGTGATTTGGTTTCCTGGTGTGGCTAACGTTAGCAGCACTAGCCTTCAGTCCTCCCTGCAGGTTAACGCCCATGTCTGTGCTGGTCGTGGTCACACACGACTCAACCCGCAGAGAGGTCAGACGGCTAGGAGACATGAAGAGGTGGTCTTTGCCCCGAGGATAAACCTCAAACAGGTTTATAATAATCCAGACTGACCCTCCGGTTTCATGTGGTCTCTGTTCTAAACCTGATTTAGGACTCGGAGCTTGACGCTACACGAGCCGACAACCTGAGTATTTACACTCGTCAGCTGATGTGTCACTCTTTTTCTGCATCTTGATGGCGCTGGTTCAACTTTTCCCGCCATGTTGTGTTCTGGACTGAAACTGACCGGATGGCGCTGGAGGTGGAGCTTACGCCACGCTCAGTGAGACTGAGGACGGGGTCTGGGTTCCTTTGGTCCTGATCAAAGAAGAACGGGTCCTCTTTGTCTTCTGGCTCTGCTCAAACTGACGTCACATCAAAGGACAAAAAGCTACTAACGGGACGTCAGATGCACTGACAGGTCTCTCTCTGATTGGACGGTTTCTGATGTCTCGTGTGATGAACGAGGAACTCAAACTTTGGTGATTCAGGAGGAGTGAAGAAGTTCCTTTGAACCAAACAAACAAAGACAGTCTCCACCTGCATGGAGCTGAAGGTGCATTCAGGTCCGCACAGACCAACGGGGTCTGAAATAAGGTGGATCCTCTTAGACCACACCCCCTTTAATAAAGCATCAGCTGTCTCTGACTGTCCCTTTGGTTCTTGAACGCAGCATGGATCCGGCGTGTCAGAAATCAGCTTCATTCCTCTGTGGTGCGTTTAATGACCTTTTAAAACAATAGGAAAAATGGCTTCCATCGGTTTCCATGGCGACAGTGCACAGCAGATCATCTTTTAGTCTGTTGAGGTTTTAAGTTTTTTGGTCAGAAGCATTATTTAACAGCCTTTATCTTTCTGGTGTTACGATTGGCTGAGGGACATTCTTAGCTCCTCCTCCCTGAGGCTGCGGTCCAATCGGTGTGTCTCAGACTCTAGGACTGACGGGATTGGACGGCGTGTGACGGCATCCAGTGAGTTTGTGAGGTCATGTCTCAGGGAGAGCAGCCATTGGCTGTTCCTGGAGGACTGCTGGATAAACTCCGCCCTCTGCTGCTGATCCACAGCCAGTGAGAGACGCAGCTGACGCACCTGAGGGGGAGGAGACACAGTGACATCAACATCCACCTAACCACTCAAAACGTGTCAAACTCTTCTTCTGTGGTGCTCTCACCTGGTCCTCCAGCTCCATCACTCTGCTCCTCAAACGTTCTTCTTCTGTGGTGTCTGCACTCTGCTGAACAAACACACCAGCTTTATACACACACACAGACAGACAAACACATCACACACACACCACAAACACACACAGATCTGTCAGTGTCTCACCTGAGATCTGCGGCTGTCAGTCAGCTTCTGTCTGAACATCAGACGCTCCTCTTCCACCTGAAACACACAAACACTAATCAGTGTGTTCACCTTTGTCAGTGTGTATATACCTGCCTCTGTGTGTGTGTGTGTACCTGTCTCATTGTGTGTGTGTTCCTGTCTCAGTGTGTGTGTGTGTGTGTACCCGTCTCAGTGTGTGTGTGTGTGTACCTGTCTCAGTGCGTCCCTCAGTGTGTTCCTGTCTCTCTTCAGTTTTTCTTTCTGATTTTCCAGATGTGAGTTTTTATTTTTCAGTCGTTTTACGTCCAGCTCGAGTTCAGCCACGAGTCGCTGCAGGACCACCAGCCTGTCCCCGTCATCCTGCTGACACACACACACACACACACACACACACACACACACACACACACACACACACACACACACACACACACACACACACACACACACACACACACACACACACACACACACACACACACACACACACACACACACACACACACACACACACACACACACACACAGGTGGTGAGAACATCCAAACTGACAAAGTAACTGTCCAATCAGAGGTACTGACCTGGTCTGTGTTAGGCCCCGCCCCCTGGCTCTGCTCCTGTTGGTGGGCTCTCTCTCTGTAGCCAATCATAGCAGCCTCCGTGAGCTCCAGGGCCAATCGAACGCGATCCCTGTCTTTCTCCAGCTCCTCCGTCCTCTGACTCAGAGCGTACACCTTCACAACAACAAACAGATGTGATCACAAAGACGGAAAAAACAAAGCAACTGTTGGAGCTTAAACACTTAATTTCTTTTTCCACCGCCGATGTGACTTTATCATTTAAATGATTACTTTTGTTAAATGTACTTCTGAACTCCTCAACTCTTTCTTCGCTCATTAAGACGTTGTCTTGTTTTAAACGTGTTGTTACTCTACGTTCAGTGTGAGCTTTCTGGTTGAGCCTCGTTAACAGTTAGATTACAACACGACTTTTCAAAAATCGTATGCTGGGGTTAAAGCCTTCTAAACAAAGCGATTGGTCCATCCACTTGTCAATCATCTGGTCCTGATAAACACATGAGCTGTCACTCTGTTGTTGCTCCTCTGTCGTCGTCATGACGATGAGTGGTTTGCTACTTAAAGATGATTAAACTGTTTCACCTCAGCTTCTCTCTGCCTCAGCCGACTCCTGACCTCCTCTTGTTCCTGAATCAGAGAGGAGAGCTCCTCCTCCTCCTGAAACAGCAAAACATTTAATTGTTGTCTCCTTTTCTGTTCAAAATGTTAAAGGCATTTTCCTCAAAACCATCAAGACCTCCTTCTCCTCCTCACCTCTCCTCCGATCTCCGTCTCATCCATCCCTTCGTCTCTCCTCCTTCTCCGTCCGTCAGTCTCCTCCCCTCTCTCTCTTCCTCTGTCAGCAGACACTGAGGACATCTGTGCTTTCTGCTCCTCCAACATGGCCGCCGTGGCTCTGACTCGGCTCAGCTCGCCCCGGCTCTCCTCCACCTCCCTCCTCGCCTCCTCTAACCTGGCCTTCCACTCCCTCTCTGTCTCCTCCTCCCTCTCCTTCAGAGTCTGGATTTCCTTTAAAAGAGTTTTCAGCTTCACTCCCCGCTCCTCCTCCATCTCTTCAACTCTGCTCCTCCACCGCTCCTCCGTCTTCCTCCTCTCCTCATCAGCATTCTCCTTGGCGAGGCGAGCCTCCTCCAGCTCCTCCATCATCTCCCTCCTCCTCTTTTCCAGGACTTTGGCTCTTGCTCTCAGTTCCTCCATCTCCCCTCTCTCCTTTGCTGCCTCCTCCCTCTCTTGTAGCACCTCCTGCAGGTTACCCTCTTTGAACCTTTCCACCTCCTCCTTCTTCTCCTTCAGAGCCCTCCTCAGACGCTCCCCTTCTGTGTGGCTCTCCTTAACGACAGAATAAAAGTGAACATTTATCAGAATAAAGTCAGGGTGTGGAGCTGGTTTTAACACCAGGAGGCGCTGTACCTGCAGGAGGAGTTTGAGGTTTGTCATCTCCTCCAGAGCGGCCCTCAGACCCTCCCTCATCTGCTGCTTCTCCTCCTCCTTCTCCTTCACCTCCTGCCTCGCTCGCTCCCTGCTCTGACTCTGATCAGACACCTGAGACACAGAGAGAGAAATTAAGTTCTTACATGCTACGATAAAAAGTGCTGCATGCCAAAACCTGTTCTTATGCTCTTATTAGCAGTTTGAGGTCCCGTGTCCACCTGGCAACAGTCTGTTGATAACGGCCGCTGTATGACACTGCTCCGTTACTTTTTACTGCATGTTTTGTATGTTAGATCGTTTATTTCCCAATCAGACACCGAGCAAGGAGGATGTTGGTACATGAAACGATCAGTAGGCGGCTAAAAAACAGGGAATATCTTACATTTGGAAAAGAGCGCCGGTGACGTCATCAGCACCCGCCTCCTGCTCCAAACGCTCTCTACTCAATGAAAATGATTGAAAAATGACCCTGCCGCTCAGAAGAAAACGCCAGGTGGACACGGTGCCGAAGACTTTGAGGAAAAAGCCTTTAGGGCAGTAAGGTAATTATTTGTGCAATACTGCGAGTTGCCACTATAGGCAGAGTTGAGCAGCCATCGAGTCAAAATGCAAACTATTAATACAGCCATGAGGCATCACCAGGTCGTGTGTGTTATTGTGTAGTGTGTGTTATTGTGTAGTGTGTGTTATTGTGTGTACCTGAGTCTGCAGGGAGCTCAGGTTGGTGTTCATCACCTCCACGCTCTGCTGCACATCTTTCAGTTTCTCCTGCACCTCCTCCCTCCTCCTCCGCTCCTTCTGCACCTTCTCTCTGAGAGCGCTCACCTCCGTCTCTGTCCTCATTAGCTTCTCCTGCACCAGCTCCTTCTCCTTTCCTTCCCTGTGCACCTCCTCTGTGATGATCGTCAGCTCAGTCCTGGTACTCCTCAGCTCCTCTTGTACCTCGTCTCTCAGCCTCTGCTCCTTCTGCACCTCCTCTCTTAGGGCTTGCATGTCCTCTTTCTCCTCATTAACTCCACATGTACCAGCTCCTTCTGTGTTTCTTCCTTCTGCACCTCCTCCGTGAATATCTTCAGCTCAGTCTTGGTTCTCCTCAGCTCCTCTTGAACCTCGTCTCTCAGCCTCTGTTCCTTCTGCACCTCCTCTGTGATGATCGTCAGCTCAGTCTTGGTTCTCCTCAGCTCCTCGTCTCTCAGCCTCTGCTCCTTCTGCACCTCCTCTGTGATGATCGTCAGCTCAGTCTTGGTTCTCCTCAGCTCCTCTTGTACCTCGTCTCTCAGCCTCTGTTCCTTCTGCACCTCTTCTGTGATGATCGACAGCTCAGTCGTGGTTCTCAGCTCCTCGTCTCTCAGCCTCAGCTCCTCGTCTCTCAGCCTCTGCTCCTTCTGCACCTCCTCTTGTAGAGCTGTCATGTCATCTTTCCTCCTTTTCAGCTCCTCCTGACTCTCAGTCTTCTCCCTTTGTTCTTTTTGCATCTCCTCTCTGAGTACAGACACTTCCCTTTCACTCCTCCTTAGCTCCTTCTGTACCTCTTCCCTCTGATTCTGCTCCCTCAACACCTCCTCTCTGAGAGCTGTTAATTCATTTCTCCTGTTAAAAAGCTCTTCCTGCACCGTCTCCTTCTCCCTTTGTCTCTTTTGTACCTCCTCTCTTAGTGAAGACACTTCCAGCTCACTCCTCCGTAACTGCTCTGTACCTCCTCTCTCTGCCTCCACTCGTCCTGGGCCTCCTTGCTCCTCTTAAGCTCCTCCTGTTCCTTGTTATCCCTTTTCCTCTGCTCCTTCTTCACCTGCTCCTTGAGGGCTGTCATCTCCTCCTGTGTGTCCTTCTTCTCCTTTTCTTCCCTTTTCACATCCTCCCTGAGCGTTGTCACCTCCTTCTCGGATCTCCTCAGCTTCTCCTGTAACTCCTCCCTCTCTGTTTGTTCCCTTGCTACCTCCTCTCTTAGTACAGATACCTCCTCTCTTCTCCTCCTCAGCTCCTCATGTGCCTTTTCTCTCTGTGTCTGCACCTCCTCTTTGAGTGCTGTCACCTCCCTCTCCCTCCTCCCTAGATCTTCTGACAGTCCTGCCTTCTCCTCCTCCAACGCCCTCTCTCTGGACCTCCTTCGCTCCTCCACCAGGAAGATCTGACCTCTCTCAATCTCTTCCAGTCTCCCTCGCTCCTCTTTCAGCTTCCTCAGTTCTACCTCCACCTCCCTCTTCTCCTCCCTCAACCTGCTCAGCACCTCCTCCCCTCCCTTCCTCCATTCCTCCGTCTCCTTTAGTTTGTTTTCTAGCCGCCTCTTCTCCTCCTCTGTCCTCCTCAAATCGTGTCCTTGTCCCTGATATTCCTTTTCTACGTCTTGCAATCTGTCCTTCAACCTCCTCTTCTCCTCCCGGGCTCTCCTTAGTGCCTCCATCCCTTCATCAAGCTCCTCCTCCACCTCCTTAACCTTCTCCTCGACCCTCTTTTTCTCTTCCTCCATCTCACTAAGCTTGTTGTCCAGCCTCCTCCTCCTCTCTGACTCCAATCTCTTCAGCTCCTCCCTCTCTCTCTCACCCTCGTCCTCCTTCTCATCTAGTGTTGATCTAAGCAGCTGCACCTCCTCCTCTCGCTCCCTCAGAATATGGTTGAGTTTAGCTAAATCCCTCATGCACTGCTCTGCCTTCCCCCTCCACTCCTTCACCTCCTCCTCCAGCTTCTCACAGGCCTCCTCCCTCTCCCTCGCCCTCCTTGTTGCTCCTTCACTCTCAGCCCGGGCCTCCTGCAGCTCCCTGACCTGGGAGGACATTCTGCCTTCTCTTTCTCCTCCCTCCTTCCTTTCTTTCTCCAGGAGTGCTCTGGTTTCTCTCAGGAGCACCTCCAGCTGCTCCTCCCTCGCCTCCTTCAGCCTCAGTCTCTCGTACACCTCCTGACGCTCCCTCTCTCCTTCCTCCTCCTGCTCCTCTGCCAGCCTCAGCTGGGCCCTCAGTTCCTCCACCTCCTCCTCCCTCTCCCTCACGGCGCTAATCTGTCGCTCCAGGCTGCGGTCCCTCCGCTCCACCTCCTCCTTCATCTCCTCACACTCCTCTTTGGCCACATTTAGCCTCAGCTTCAGCATCTCCACCTCCCCCACCTTCTCCTTCAGCCTCTTCAGCTCCTCCTCTGCTTTCCAGACTTCATCCCTGAGTCGCTCCACCTCCTCCTCCCTTCTCCTCCTCCTCTCCCCTTCTTTGTCCTGCAGCCTCTCTTTGTCTCTTGTCTCCTCCTCTAAGTGGGAGATTTCTTGTCTCAGTCTGTTTATCTCCTCCTCCTGCTGCTTCACCTGCTCCCTCCATCTCTCCACCTCCTCGCTTGTTTCACTCTTCAGTCTCTCCATCTCCTCCTCCCTCTTCTCCTTCTCTCTTTCCAGTCCTTCCATCCGGTCACAAAGTGCACCAATCTCCTCCTCCCTCTTCACCTCCTCCTCTGTAAACCTGATCCTTGTCCTCTGCGCCTCATCCTGCACTCTCTCCCTCTCTGCCTCCGTCCGTTGCATTCTCTCCATCATGTTGCTGATTTTCACCTCCCTCTCTGTCATCTCCCTCCTCAACTTCTCCGTATCTCGTTGTCTCTGCTTCTCCTCCTCCGTCAGGGCGTCTGTGCGCCTCCTCAGCGCCTCCAGCTCTCCGTCCTTGGTCCCTAACTCTTCGCTCATAGCCTCCCTCTCCCTCTGCCAGGTCTCCCTCTCCTCCATCCTCTCCTCTTCCTCCTCCACCCTTCTCTTCCTCAGCTCCTCCACCTCATCCTTTCGCCTCTCCACCTCCTCCATCAGCGCCTCTTTCTCCTCCGTGCACCTTTTTCTCTGCTCTTTCTCTTCTTCTCTCCCGGCGGTGGCCCTCTCCAGCTCTCCTTTCAGACACTCGATCTCCCCTTCAGACAGAAACACGAGAAAACGTTATCAACAAACACCAAACGTCTGACGTCCTCCTGTAGTTTATATATTCATTTACTATCGTTCTGATACTTCTGAAGTATAACTCGACTACCACTGATACCACAACTTCACCATAAACACAAAAACTACTGCAGGACAACCAATCCCACCGCTGTTACCACGGATACGACTATCATGAAGGCTAACGCTACAGCAGTTTTTAAACTCATACTAAGACTAGAAGCACTGCTACCACTGTAAACATTGATCGTTCTGCTCAGACTACTACAACCCCGTTTCCAAAGAAGTTGGGACGCTGTGTAAAGATGTAAATAGAAACAGAACAGGAGGATTTTCAGTAAAACATTGAAAACCCAAATTTGATGACAAAAAGCACAAAGACAAAACGTTGAAACTGTCATTGTGATTTTAATTCGCCCCATTTTTAATGAGATGCAACGGTTTCAAAAAAAGCTGGGACAGTGAGAACAACAGACACACCTGATGAATATCTGACACCCTCCTTTAGTATGACCTCGAGACTTCAGGGTGCAGGTCCAGAAGGACCAGGATGAGGACTAACGGTGAACTCCGTTTACCTGTCAGAGCTGGGTGTGACGTCACACCTGAGTTAACCGCGTCCCAGGTACAAGTTGGTACATGTTGGACAAGCAACATGGACGCCTCCAGGTGTACCTTTGTTTTGTTAGCTAACACCAGACGTAAGGACAAACTACCTGATAGTTTGTGTGTGATGATAACATGACAACATGTCCACAATAGAACTAAGACTGAGCTGCTGACAAATACTTTAATGTACCGCTTAAACCTTCTATTGATGCACGGAGCAGCCATATTGGATTTTAGCTCGGACTACTAAAGGTTCTCTGAGTTTCCCAGTCAGACCTCTGACTTTAGGTGGTCGCCCTGATGACGTATCAGATCAGACCAGCGACTTCCGAGAGGAAAGTTGTTGTGAAAAGAGTTGTGTAAATATGTGTGTATGTGTTGTGTATATTTACTGACCCTGGAGCGTTTGTTTAGCCTGCTGCAGAGTGACGACATGTGTGTTCAGCTGACATCGGTCCACCTCCGACTGAGAGAGTTGCTTCTGCTGCTGACTGAGCTGCTGGTGGAGAGACACTGACGCATACCTGAGAGAGAGAGAGAGGGAGAGAGAGAGTGACAGGGAGAGGGAGAGAGAGAGAGAGAGAGAGAGAGACAGACAGAGTGACAGGGAGAGTGAGAGAGAGAGAGAGACGGAGTGACAGGGAGAGCGAGAGAGAGAGAGACGGAGTGACAGGGAGAGCGAGAGAGAGAGAGAGACGGAGTGACAGGAAGAGCGAGAGAGAGAGAGAGAGAGGAGAGAGAGAGAAACATGTGACTCTTTATCTAAAACTGATAACCGCCTGTGAGCCTGGATTATTTAAACCTGTGTACCTGAGCTCCTGCAGCTCCTCCTCCAGCTGCTCCCTGTGTCTCTGCAGACTCGCCTGCTCCTCCTGCATCTTCCTGCTCTCCCTCTGCTGCTCCTCCTGCTGCCTGTCTCTCCTCCTCACCTCCTCCACTGCCTGCCGCAGCTGCTCCTGCGCCTCTTTCAGCTCCCTGTACATCGAGGCATACTGGGAGGACAACTGAGGAGCACAAACACATGTCATATATGATGCATGATACAGGTGTATCACACACACGATGGTCAGCTCCTCCTCCTCACCTCCTCCAGCTGACCTCCATCCGTCTCCTTCTCCTCCATCAGGGAGGCCAGCTGTCTCTCCTTGTCCTCCATCAGTCTCTCCATCTCTGCCTCTCTCTCTCTCAGCTGACGGAGGACGTTGGCTTCCTCCTCTCTCTGAGCTCTAAACAACAGAAGGTAAAAACACATACTGTAAATATGAGAGTGTAAAAGTGATGTCATCCATCTGTTCCTGCAGGGGGCGCTGGAGTTCCATCGATGGCGGTCTCCATGCTGGAAATGCTGTCTCAGCCTAACTTTCAGTCAACCTAACGACAGGCTGAGAGCTGGAGCTGGTTTTAAGCCTCCTGACAAACCGTTACATCGCGCCCGCCTGTCAATCAGGTCAGCTACACGCCTTATTGTGAATAACTCTTATCCTTCATCAAATCAAAATGGATGAGTCATCAAAACATTCACCCCCCGTACAGTGTGTGCCGATCGAGACATGAGCTAATCAGAACTATTTGTTTTTTTGAACCAGGCTGTAAACATGTTAATCTCTGCTGTAAAAACAGGCTTTTTTGAATGGGTATGTATGTGACTTCCTGTGCTTCTGCACTTCTGCAGCCAGCCTCTAGTGGACACTCGAGGAACTGCAGGATTTTACACTTCATTTTACAGACTTCATGTTTCAACACCGGAGGTTGCTGCTCGGTTATTACTCACGTTTAAAGGTTAATAAAAACAGGTTAAGGATTCAGTATCACTGGATTATAGAAACACACTCACCTGAGCTGGCTGTAGTCCAGGTTTAAAGTTTGGACCTCCCTCTGCAGAGAGCTTACCTCTGACCTCACAGCCTGCAGCTGTGATTGGCTGTTTGACAGCTCACACTCCAGCTGGAAACACACACACACACATATGAAGATGTGCTCTCCTGCTGAACCAGGCAGCGACACAGACAGACAGGTGAAGCGGTCGTAATACCTGCAGCAGCTGTTTGTTCAGCTCTCTCTTATCTGACGCCAGGGCTGAGCTCAAGGCGGCCATCTTGTCCAGAGCGTCCCGAGCCTCCTCCACCTCCCGCTTCAACACACACTCAGAGGACGAGAGACGTAACACACTCTCCCTGGACTGTGGGGGAGGGGGAGGGGTTAACCAGCGGTGTCAGCTTGACCAACTTGTTACATAACTAGTTTATTAGTTTAGGTTCAAGCTGATTATGAAGTTTAAAAAGTGTCTCTGTATTATTTTCTCTGCACTTTAAACTGTGATAAAAGTTCAGTGACGTTGGTTGAAATGTGCAGAACTCGATGACGGCTGCAGATTGAACAGGTTTTATGGTAAATGTACCTTCTGCAGGGCGTCTCTGGCGTCTGCAGTCTCCTCCTCTGCTCTCTGTCTGTCCAACTGCTCTCTCTCTAACGCCCCCTAAAGGAGAAAACACAGAGGGGACAGAGAGACATAGGGACAAATTAACAAACTGTTTCTGTCAAAATCTACGGGAACAAGAAGCACAATTTATAACAGGACAGAGCTTTGTGTCCCAGATTGACTAGAAACACTTAAAGTCGACCTCTACTTCTGATCTCCGTTTACAAACTCTCATAGTGTTACGATGTTCAAACTAAACATGGGCAAAGTTTTCAGATCATGAGGTAAACGTATGTTGGAATAATCCCAGGATGAGTCTGCAGAGGGCGCTAAAAGCCTTGTTCTGTAAATCATGCCATAGATCCCCGATATGAAATCAAGAATTTCACCAGACGGCTTCAAGCCTCTACGTAAGCAGCTGAAACCTCTCACATAGACTCTCTTCTCCCAGACCTGGAGAGCAGCCCTCCCCTGGCAGCCCTGCAGCGTTCTGACCCCCAGAGAGCCGGCCAATCAGAAGAGAGAGGGCATGTGGGGAGGGGGGGTCTAAAGAGACAGCAGCAGAGGCTGAGATTAAGGTTTTTATGCCAGTATCAGATCAATCAGATCATGTAAAGCTGCTCTAAAGGTTTCACACACTGACAACATGAAAGGTGAACATGAGGAGGAGATGGGAGGAGCTTAAAATTAAACATGGTTTGTTACCTGCAGTTTGTGGATCTCCATTCGGTGCCGAGTTTCTCTCTCAGTCAGCTGAACGTTCTCCAACAGTTCAGTTTCCACTCTGAAACAAGAACCGAACATCTCCCGGTTTAACAACAACACGACAGCAAATGATCCTGATTCACATTGAAATCTTAAAACATGATGTAATGGATCCGTGGAAGCCACTTAAGACCAAACAAAGATGGAATCCTTGAGTGAGACACGGAGCTCCCCGTCCCCCAGCGTTATCCACTTCAAACTCCTTCTGTAAAGCCTCGTGTCCACCAGGCGGTCCGGGTTGGTTCAGTACAGTCTGGTACGGTAAACTGATCTTGTTTGCGTAAGCGGAGTGTAAGCCTGATGGCGATCGCAGCTTCAGCAATGATATAGTGTGACATCCTAGCAGCGCCACACAGTAAATTCAACGAAGAAGGCAACACAATAAACAAAGGGCAACAATGGAGGATGTCCAGCAGAGGTCAGCACCTCCAAGGTCGTCCATGGGGCGGAGCTAAACGCTGACATTAGTCACATTAAACAATAACGACATTACTCTCTTGAAATCCACGGCATATTCTAACATGCCGTGTTTGTCTTTTGTGCTGTGATTTTTTTGACCAATCAAAGGACAGCAGTCTGTCCACCTGTCAGAGCGCATATGTGAAAAAGGCTCTAAAGTACCGTTTGAGTGTTTGTGTCTCCAGCTGTGAGATTCTCTCCTCCTGTCTCTCTCGCTCCTTCTTCAGCCTGTTGTTCTCCCTCTTCACACCCTCCTCTCTCCTCTGCACCTCCTCCACCTGCAGGTGCAGCAAGGAGGAAGCCTCACGCTCCCTGATACACACACACAAAACAAGAATAAAATAAATATATCCAATCCAATGATTTAGAATAATATCAACAACCGTTTAAACTCAGAGACGACAAAATGATTACCCTAAAATCTAGAATTTAAGTCAGAGTCTGTTTGGGGTCACACAGAGGTCAAAAAGTGTCTTCATGTGTGATGATCTCGTGTTCATCAGCGGTCAGTCTGTGTACACCATGTGGAGTTAGTAATCCTGCTAGGTACCTGCGTGTGTGTGTGTGTGTGTGTGTGTGTGTGTACCTGCTCAGTGAGTCCAGAGCGTGTGTGAGCTCCAGCTGTGTGTATTGTGTGTGCGCCTGCAGCTGCTGGTTGTTGTCTTCCAGTTGTGTCAGTCGAATCATCAGAGACGAATTCTCCTCGCCGAGCCGCCGCACAGAGAGCTCTGCCCCCTGACACACACACACACACACACATATATATTAATTAACCCCTTGTCGTCCTGCAGTGTAAGCCCCTCGTGCTCGGTGTGCATGGTTGTCTGACCTGCAGTTCCTGCTGTCTCCATTGCAGGGCACTCTCAGTGTGGGACAGGACGGACAGCAGGGAGGACAGGTCCAGACTGAGGAGGTCCTCTGAGGACACACTCACAGACCTGCTGCTGCTGCTCAGGACTCTGGACTGCAGACACAGACAGTGTTAATACTGACCTCTGCAAACACGCACACACACACACAGACCATCACAAATACACACACACACACCTGTGTACACCTGAGACATGCTCAAGACTCACCAGATTAACCACAGCCTGAGCGACGGACTGAAGCTTCCTCTCCATGTCTCTATGTCTCTCAATCTCTCTTTCTCTCTCCATCCTCTGATCGTCTTCCATCTGCAGAGAGCGAGAGAACTCCGCGATCCTGTCAGAGAGAGAGAGAGAGAGAGAGAGAGAGAGAGAGAGAGAGAGAGAGAGAGAGATTCCTTTAATACAGCATGACATAATTCATGAGGTTCTATATAGACTATAAACTAATTAGCATTCTGGCTAGCTCTGGTGCTAACTAAGAAGCATGAAGAAAATCTAAATGTTTTACCGTTCAGTCAGCTCTGAAACTTTTGTCTCATGAAGAAGCTTCAGTTCAGAAATCTCCTCCTCTTTCTCCTGCCACCTCCGCTTCTCCTCCTCTTCCTCCTCCTCTTTGTGCTCCAGCTCTCCTAATGTAAATGTCCCCAGGGTGGAGGAGGAGGTGAGATGAGGAAGATGGGAAACAGCTGTGTTGGCGCCCTGCGGAGGGAGGAGCAGGGTGGAGGAGAGAGGAGGAGAACAGGGAGCAGGGTGTGTGCTGCGAGGAGCGCTGAGCCTCAGAGAGGAGGAGACGGAGTCACAGCTGGAAAGGAGAGAGGAGGAGAGACGAGAAAACTCCGCCCTCACCTGCCACAGATCCCTGCAGACAGAGACATGTTGGTCAACAGGCTGGGTAACTTACCACAAGCAGGTCAATTAACAAATGGGTCGGTCAACCTGTACACGTTCTACATCCCAAAATAAGATGGTCAACCTCAACGCTCGCGTTTGTTAGTTTAAATTTGTGAACGGTACATTTTCATGAAGGTCACATGCAGGTGTACGTACCTGTCAGCGGCGGTTTTGACGGTGTTACAGTGACGTCTCAGAGCGACAACCGACCTCCAAACTGACAACAGCCGAGCCTGCTGCTGACCTGCATGACCTGACAGACTCTGGACACACACACACGCGCCCACACACACAAATGTTAAATATTACAATCTAAACAAGGATATTCATGTAGAAGAAAACAGCCTTAAACTATCGGGAAAACGTCCAAACAGACCTCCCTCTCTCTCCGCCACTCATTCTCTTTCTGCTCCGCCTCCTCCATGGCTTTCGTCCAGTCAAATGTCAG